AACAGCGTTGATGTTGACAGGAATAGATCTTCTGTATCTTTCCAGTAATTTTCCACTGTTGGTAGAAACTCTGTCATTTCAGTGAGGACATTTATGAATTTAAACGGTTTACGCCTATGAGTGGTTTTGATTTCTCTACCAATATGCATTATCCTGCAACGTAAATGATCAAGTGTATACTGGACCTTGAGAAGCCATGTCCGATAATGAACAATAGTTTACTAAGTCCTGGAAATCCCTCATACCTATAGTGACCATCGGATTATCATCAACCCTTGAATGCTCTTCCATATCTAGTGTCACGTTAAAATCACCAAACAGCAACCACGGTTTGTTCCGGATTATAGGAGAATCGTAATGATCTCTTAACTCCTGCCATAGTACCTTTCTTCATCGACAAGATTTGAGGCGTAGATAAAGGAACAAAAAAACTCCTCCACTTGATCTTCCAATTTCACCGAGCAAGTGATTACCTGACCACTTTTGTAAAAAGGAGTCAGTCTCACGTTACTTTGCCAAAGAACCCAAATGCGACCTCTTGAGTTAAACTCATAATTTGTTAGAATGGACCAATTTTGAAATAACCGACTTCCCAATCCTTGTGCCTTTCTCTCCCTGATTCTTGTTTCAAGGATGCATTTAAATATTTCAATATTTAATTATGGTTGAAATTGGGAGATTGAACGAGCTGTTATCATCACGACGAAGAGTTCAAATCGTCTGAAGAGACGAATATATACAATTCCTAACGTTCGCATCGAAAACTTTAACGGCTACAAGTAGCCAAGTAGAAGAAGCCGTGGTATCGTAAAATTTTTAGCGGTGCTATTTTTCCGGCGATCAAACACTAGAAAGGGCTATGGTGATCGATTCTAAGGTCAGTTACACGAGAGTATTGGGATATGATATCAGTTATCTTCGGAAATCATATCCCGTATGTTTAGCACCTAGAATTATTAGTTTCCATATTCTTCTTTGTAATTATTTGATCGATTAGGTTTGGGGATCACACCTCTGTGATATATATATATATATATATATATATATATATATGTAATCAAACCTCAAGTAAATATACTGAATCATTCAGCCTCCATTGACGTCTCTGTTATTTCATGGTATCAGAGCTTGAAACACAAACACCCTAATTTTTTTTTTTTTCGATTTTGTTGACCATGGCTGAACCAATCCCGAACACGACAACTGTTGAGGTGAGACGCAAGATCTCTCCGTACGATCTGACCGCCAATGACAACCCTGGAGCCGTGATCTCTCATCCTTTGTTGAAAGGAATGAATTACGAAGAATGGGCGTGTGGTATAAAAACTGCACTTTGCTCACGAAAGAAATTTGGATTCCTTGATGGATCCATCGCTCGACCAGCAGAAGGGTCTCCTGATTTGGAAGATTGGTGGACCATTCAGGCGTTGCTGGTCTCTTTGATTCGGATGACTATCGATCCTTCGCTGCTCTCCAACATCTCTCATCGAGACATAGCCAAGGATCTATGGGACCACTTGAAGAAGCGTTTATCTGTAACCAACGGGCCACGTATCCAGCAACTCAAAGCAGATCTGGCTTGCTGTAAGCAGAGAGGGCTTGCGATCGAAGCCTACTACGGCAAATTGAACCGTATTTGGGACAGCATGGCAAACCACAGACCTCTACGTGTTTGCAAATGCGGCAAGTGCTAGTGTAATCTTAATACACTGCAGGAACAAGATAGAGAGGAAGACAAGGTCCATGATTTTTTGGCCGGTCTTGATGATACTTTCACCACAGTGAGGTCCAGCTTGGTGTCACGTATACCAATTCAACCTATGGAGGAAGTCTACAATGTGGTGCGTCAAGAAGAAGATTCGAAAAATAATGTGAAAAAAGGAGATGAAGCTGCTGAAGTAACCGCATATGCAGTCTAGCAGCGAGGTCGTGTGCGACCAGTGGTGCATTCCGATGAAGGGACGGTGATGTGCAGACACTGCAACCGTGGTGGCCACTCTTCTGACAGCTGTTTCGCGGTGGTCGGATATCCTGAATGGTGGGGGGATCGTCCAAGAAGCAGAACAATGCAGAGCAGAGGCCGTGGTGGATCTTTTGCTGGACGAGGTCGTAACACGAGCTATGCAAATGCAGTTCATGTTCCAAATATATCGACTCAGGAACATGTTAATCATGTGATCACAGACAAGGATCGGGACGGCGTGACCGGTTTGAATGACATTCAGTGGCAGAACCTTAAAAAGCTTCTGAATGGTGGCGTTAATGGTGGAGCTAGTACCAGCAACGAAAAACTCTCGGGTAAAATCTCTTCTCCTTCTTGGATATTAGATACAGGAGCTTCACATCATTTAACGGGAAACTTAGATACTCTCACAAACATAAGGAATATGGATCCGGTGTTAGTAATTTTGGCTGATGGGCGAGAAAGAATCTCGTTTACAGAAGGAACTGTAGTGTTGGGATCAGATCTGGTTTTGAAATTGGTTTTTTATGTTGAAGAATTGCACACTGATCTTATATCGGTAGGACAGTTAATGGATGAAAATCGGTGTGCGGTACAAATGGCTGATCAGTTTCTAATCATTCAGGACCGCGTTTCGAGGACGATGATTGGGGCTGGTAAAAGAGATTCTAGAACTTTCCGCTTATGCAGAATGGAGTTGGTGGCGTCGGTTACAACGGAGGATGCGAAAGCTTATGAGTTGTGGCATAATAGGATGGGACATCCGTCTGCTAGAGTAGTTGGTTCTCTTCCACATGTTTCTGTTTCTGTTGATTCTGAAATTTCCAATAAGGCGTGTGATGTTTGTTTCCGCGCCAAGCAAACTAGATCGAGTTTTCCGATCAGTGATAATAAAACTTCGTCTATTTTTGAAATCATTCACTGTGATCTTTGGGGACCGTATCGAACACCGTCTTCCTCCGGTGCTCGTTATTTTCTTACAATAGTAGATGATTTCTCCCGCAGTGTATGGATTTATCTTCAGCAAGATAAAACAGAAACGTCAACAAATTTGAAAGCTTTACTCGCTATGGCTGAACGACAATTTCAGAAACAAGTGAAATGTGTTAGAAGCGACAATGGGACAGAATTTGTGAGTATGGGAGGGTTCTTTCGTGCTCAAGGAATTCGACACGAAACGTCATGTGTTGCCACACCACAGCAGAATGGGCGCGTCGAGCGAAAGCATCGACACATTTTGAATGTAGCTAGAGCATTGCGTTTTCAATCAAGTTTACCAATCAGTTTTTGGGGAGAATGTATTCTAACAGCGGGATATTTGATAAACCGAACACCGAGTTCAGTTTTGAATGGAGTTACGCCTTATGAGGTGTTACATGGAGCAGCACCAAGTTATGAGCATCTGAGAGTTTTTGGGAGTCTATGCTATGCGCATAATCAAACGCATAAAGGAGACAAATTTGCATCAAGAAGTCGGAAGTGTGTGTTTGTTGGTTATCCTTATGGGAAAAAGGCGTGGAGATTATATGATTTGGATAAAGAAGAATTCTTTATTTCACGAGATGTGCGTTTTTGTGAGTCTGAGTTTCCATTTGCAGAGGCTGCCAACTCTCTTGCCAAAAACGTGCAGGAAGAAGAAAGAGGTGAAGCAATGTGGGTTTCAAGATCCATAGGCCCAATTGAAGATGAAGAAAACAGGCATGCTGGAGTTTCTTCTCAAATAAGCCCAACTGGTTTGACAGGCCCATTGGAAACTAATGAAATATTGAGCTCATCTGCTGAAACATCTGTCACGACACCAGAGGTATCATCGTCTTCTTCCTCCGATTCTCAATCACCAGGATCGTCGCCATCGTCACCTGAAAAATCTCCGGCGACCACACCATCGTCTTCACCAAATCGGAATGCTCAAGTCGCGGGAAACGAACCACAACCTCCGCCGGTCGTTCCTCTCCGTCGTGGTGAACGGGTTCGAGCTCCGCCAGTGGCTCTTAATGATTATGTCACGAACTCAGCTCAAACACGGATATTGGGTAATAGCAAATCTCTCTATCCAATTGACAAATATGTTAGTTGTGCTCGTTTTTCAGCCACACATCGAGCGTTTTTGGTAGCCATCAGCAAAGATGTTGAGCCAAAGACGTATAAGCAAGCGATTCGAAGTAAAGTTTGGACAAATGCTATGGGATCAGAAATTGGTTCTTTAGAGGAGAACAATACGTGGACAATTGAGGATCTACCTCCGGGAAAGACAACGATTGGTTCAAAATGGGTGTAGAAAATAAAATACAACTCTGATGGGTCCATTGAATGCTACAAAGCACGTTTGGTAGCTCTCGGCAACAAACAAATCGAAGGAGTGGATTATGGTGACACATTTGCTCCTGTAGCAAGAATGCAAACAGTTCGTATGTTTCTGGAAGTGGCAGCAGGAAACAATTGGCCGGTGCACCAAATGGATGTGCACAATGCCTTTCTCCACGGCGATCTTACCGAGGAAGTCTACATGAAACCACCGCCAGGTTATTTTACAAGTGATGAGAACAAAGTGTGTCGTCTCAGAAAATCATTGTACGGGTTGAAGCAAGCGCCAAGGTGCTGGTTTGGGAAGTTAACGACTGCGTTGCGTGAGTATGGTTTTGTACAATCTCTCTCAGATTACTCGCTATTTGGTTTTGACAAAGGTGGGATTCACATCAACATTCTCATTTATGTTGACGACATGATCGTGACGTAATTCAGATGAAGCACTCACTGGTTTCAAAGGTTATTTGGCCTCTTGCTTTAAGATGAAGGACCTCGGACCGCTCAAATATTTTCTGGGTATAGAGGTTTCTCGAAGCTCCAAAGGATTTTATTTAAGCCAAAGAAAGTATGCTTTGGAGATTGTTTCTGATGCTGGTCTTCTGGGATCCAAACCAGCAACATTTTCTCTAGAACATAATCACAAATTGGCCTTGTCTACCTCACCTTTGTTAACCGATCCTGAACCTTATCGTCGAATGGTTGGTCGTTTAATCTATTTGAGAGCAACAAGACCTGATTTGGCTTTCTGCGTTCATGTACTAGCACAGTTTATGCAAGCTCCACGCGAAGATCACTGGGAAGCTGCGTTGCGAGTTGTACGATATTTGAAAGGAAATCCCGGCCAAGGTATACTCTTGAAAGCAGAGAAAAATTTTCAGATAACGGGCTGGTGTGATGCTGACTATAACAGCTGTCCACTCACCCGACGGTCTGTCACTGGATTTTTTGTACAACTTGGCGATTCACCGGTGTCTTGGAAAACACGGAAACAAGACACTGTTAGTATGTCTTCCTCGGAAGCGGAATATCGAGCAATGGCGTTCATCACAAAAGAGCTTATGTGGTTGAAACGAGTTCTTCTCGATCTTGGCGTCAAACATACACAGCCGATGCGTCTTTACTGCGACAACAAGTCAGCCATATACATTGCCACGAATCCCGTCTTCCATGAACGTACGAAACACATCGAAAATGACTGCCACTTTGTTCGTGAAAAGATACAGTTGGGTACTCTACAGCTTCAACATGTTTCAAGTGGTGCTCAGCTAGCGGATATATTCACCAAACCACTTGGAAGAAGATCGTTTGAAGATTTTTGTACCAAACTGGGCATTTTGAATCTTCATGCTCCAGTTTGAGGGAGGGTATTGGGATATGATATCAGTTATCTTCGGAAATCATATCCCGTATGTTTAGCACCTAGAATTATTAGTTTCCATATTCTTCTCTGTAATTATTTGATCGATTAGGTTTGGGGATCACACCTCTGTGATATATATATGTAATCAAACCTCAAGTAAATATACTGAATCATTCAGCCTCCATTGACGTCTCTGTTATTTCAGAGAGATCAAACTTCCGTCGAGGCAATTCCGATCTGATTTATGAGTTGTGTTTCTCTTTTACTTGATTAGAGAAATCAAACTCCCGGATTTAGGGTTTCGTCAGATTGATTTGTTTACGAATTGTGTGTTACTTGATTTGATAATTGTTACTGTTACTTAACTTATTCCTCGATAGTTTTTGTGTTTTGTTTGATTTGGTTTTTGACAGGAAGATCAAAAGGATTCTGATTCATGATCTTCAAGGACAATAAATCTATGGGATACTATCAAAGAGATGGTAAAGGAGAACGTGGTGGTGACTGGTAATCGTAGATAAACTGTAGTTTTGTGCTGCTCTGTTTTCGGTTTAGATTTGTTCTGCATCGTCGTGTCTCCGGTTTGATTCTTGCTCTTGTTCTTATGGTTTACCTTTTTGATGTCACAGATCGTTTCGGGTCTTCCTTGCTTGAAGAAAATAGACTTGCATTCATAAAATCTTCTTATATGTATTTTTAGAAATTATTCCCCCCAAAATAATTTAAAGATACACATGAGCTTATTACTTGGAATGCAGGTTTTGCAACAAGTCATTGAGATTATTACTCACATCGACTGCGGAAAATGTATCCTAAGAAGATATCTTAGTTGTTTTCAGGTGGCAACGAATTCCGTAAGCTGCTTCTACTTTGTCTAACCTGTGTTTGTTAGAAGAAGATATCTTGACAACTGAATCAAACTCTGTTACATGAATTTTTCTATAATACTCTGTTATTTTAGTTTTTTTTTTTTTCATTACAAAATTAGTCATGAATTCTTATTGTTATTTGTACCATTCTTGACACGTTCCTCAGGAGAATTATTTGGAGGTGTTGCCGTAGCCATGGGACCAACTATTGAGAAGGCGAGCAAGGTTAGGGATACATGTCAAGCATTGAAAATCTTTCTTACTTCCTGCCAGTTTTACCAAATACTTGAGCGATCTACTTTAGGGAATTTGGTCTGATGTTCTGAAATGCCTCACTATCAACATGAAGCACATGAGAGAATTTACTTTGACACAATGGTTGGTGAACTTCTTTAGGCATGTCTTTTTTATTCTGTAAATGCGGATTATAATACCTCCAAATAGCAGAAAAACAGCAGAATGATGTGCGAAAAACAGCAGAATGATGCATTTCCGAGATCTTGAGAGTCAGTGGACAGTATACGGTAGGTATCCTTGGGTTAGCTTGTTCTATTCATGGCTAGAGCCTGATATCAGATTAGTCGTGTGCATTTTTCTCAGATGGAAAAGAATATCAAAGATATCCAAGGCCCAGCACTAGCTCTTGTGTTTGATAAAGTAAGACCATGATTTGTTCAAGGTACCTATCCAATTAAAAGCTCGATGATCTGGTTTTCTGATTAATATGTTCTCTCCTCTCCGTTCCCTTTTATGTTCATGCTATTGCTAATGATTTGAATCATCAAAAGCTTTGGCGGGGCCAGTGTTGAAAGGTGTTTCAAAGATTTCATATCGACTTCTAGTGGTACCGTGGAACGTAGGGAATTGAGTTCGTATTCTTCCTTTCATATGCTTTGTTTCTTATATTCCTATGTAGTTTTTTTTTTTTTCCATCTTTGAGAGAATCAAGTAAAATTTAAACAAAAAACCTGAGCTTGTGTCTGAAATTATCAAGGTCGCGGGTTTGGTCTTAATTCTAAGTTATAATGCTTCCTTTTGACCAGATAAAGCATTTGTAAAGTCTTCAATATTTTAACCATTGCACCACTCACTAAACTACTACGAATGTGGCAAACCCTAATCCTCTGTAAAGATCACACTTTTACCAAAATGACTTGAATATAAAAGCTAATTTATATATTTAAACCAATAATATCGTTTTGATGACACAACATGGACAACTATCAAACTTTTATATTGATAAGTGTTTGTTACCGTTTCTTGACCAATAAAAGTGTTTGTTCCTGCTCTTTCTGAGTGTTCGTGTGATATAAATTTATGGTTATCTTGTTTATATGAACTTTTTATAGTCTCGAGATTAAACTCAAGATGAAAGTTCGGTAAAAATTTAACTAAAGTCCATTTTTTATGGTAATATCATATGATATAATTTTACTATCATTTCCGCGTATTTAATTGAGTACAAATGTAGGAAAATCCGTTGAGTTCACATAAATATTGTTTTAAGGATCACCTTTTTTATATGTTTTCTTGTAATTTTAATTGTAAAATAAGATTGAAAAAATACATTTACTGAATAACGATAGATCGTAACGAATTAGATCGTTCATTACTATGTGAAATAGAAGTAGTAGTAGAAGATGGAAGTTCTTGTGATGTCGGCGAAACATTTATTATCTCTTGTGCTTCATTGTCCACAAAGACAAAGTCTACTCTACCTCTTGAATCATTGAATCTTATTCCCTTTAGTTTACGAGATTCTAAGCTTGGCTTTCCTTGATATCCAAAATGACAAATTTTCATTATTTAATAGTAGTATTCTAAGCGGTTGAAAAATAAATATGTAACTAATCATTGCACTATTACATTGATTTGGTGACTAGAATAATTTGCCACTTTACAAAACATTGAAACAGCTGACTATTTGATGACTAAATATCAATTTTGTTTTTGTTTTTTGCCAATATCAATTTTGTTTTCAATGGTTTCCTGATATTATTTTATCACGCCTAATTTTGTATTTATGGTACAACTAGTCTTTCTCTATCAACACACCTGCAGAAAATATTTCCTTCTATCACATCAGCTAATTTAGTCATGTGACAAATTTTTATGTGCCAATGTCATTTACCTGAATTTGCCTAAGTTTCAGTTCGTACGTACCATGTGATATCAAAGTAGTAGCAGCAATAGGAAGGTATGGTTCCTCTGCTGATTTTCGGAAGCTAAGTTTTTCAGAAACTTTTGAAGCTGAAAAGGATAAAAGATAAATTAAGAGCACTATACAAAGGATTATATATATGTGATATATATATAATCAAATAAAACAGAAAGAGATCATAAGCTAACCTCACGTACCCATATATGTTAACCATTCATGCAATATTCTTGGAACCATTTGCCAATTTTAAGTTTTTATCTAAATAATGAATGTTGAGAAGAAGACGTTGTATAAGAAAAGATTGGAAAAAAAGTTAATGATATAATTAATATAAACATGCATGCCATTTAATTCTCAATATAGCCATGTATTATTGATAAAAAAAAAAATGTACTATTGAGTATTTTTTTTTTTTGTTAATATATAATGTGAATATTATATACCAAGTACTATTGAGTATTCACACCAAAAAAAGTACTATTGAGTATTGATCACCCAACAGCACGAAATAACAAACATGCCTTAAGTATTAAATATATCAAAACTATTTAACCAACAAATCATGCAAAGTAACATACATGCATAATTATTTACAATTAATCTGTTTAAAAATGTGAAAAAATTCATTTAAATTTTTGAAGATTAGATAAAATCAAAATCTCAACATTAAAATTTTAAAACCACACAAAAAAAAGTTTACAGAAATAGTAGAGAGTACTCTAGAAACCAATAGTGTCACTATCATTCTGTTAGATATTTTGTTCTCAAATAGCAAAAATATTGCTATTAGATATTTTTATAGAAAATTCTTAGACAGAAAATCAATCATTAAAATGACGTCATGTATTAAAATACCGAACCAACACACAAAAAAGGAGAACATTATCCAAATTATGAACAGAACAGAGGCAGAGCAAGAAGAAGAAGAATTCAGTGAATGGGTAGTGATACAAACCTCACCCAAATCCCCACGATCTGACGCATCTACCCCTCCAAACTCACCGATATTACAACCAAGCCATCGCAGTGAAAATCCAACGACCAACGATGATGATGATGATGATGAAGATTCTGTTGTCCCCTCCACCGTGAATCTTTGGCTTCCGTGGCGCGTGATTGACACTACCAAGAAGCGATTGCTCAAGAACTCAGTGTGCTTCTTTCAGGCCGCCGAAAGGGTGCGTTGTAGTTACCTAACTCGTAAAAGGGTATTTTGGTCATTAACAATCATTGGAGGCTTCTCGTTGGTTTTGAGCCTTGTCTATGTGAAGCTCGTGAGGTGGTGGAGACGACTACATGAAGAGAAGCTGAGATTTCTCCTTCTTCTGCTCAGAGAGAAAGATCAGGTTTGTGTTAATTAATCCTGAGTTTATAGTAATCTTAAGAAAGAAAAAAATCTAGATTTTTGATTGGAGGTTTTGTGATTTTGTAGAAAATAAAGGAACTAATGGTTGAAATTGGGAGATTGAACGAGTTGTTATTGTCAAGACGCAGAGTTCGAGTGGTTCGAATCGTCTGACGAGACGAATATATATATATATATATGTATATGGTTTAGTAGAGCTTTTACTATTTGTTGTGTGATTATTATACAAACATATAGTTTCACGTGAATGTAAGAAAATTTTCTTACAAAAATCAAAGGAAAATAGAGTGGGATACAGTTTATGTTTGATGTAGTTTTTTTTTTTTTTTTTAATATAGTTTGGGCTTAATGTTTGGTTAAGAAACTAAACTGTTCTAAAGTTTTTTGAGTGTCAAAATGCATGATATTGCATTTGCAACAATCAGGTCACAAGCTCGAATTCCGAGTCGATGAAGAAGATATACATGAAGGTGAAAAGTAAGGGGAAGAGAAGTGAGAAGTTTCAAGAAGTTGTGGCAACTCTTCTCAAGAAAATATTGATTGTTTTAAAGACAGAGGAAGTGCTAGCCCAATGAATTGTTGGAATAGACAGCTTCTGGGAATTAACGTGGCTTCATGTTAACAACATTGCTCCATCCATGCGACCCAAGGTATTCCCTGATCACGAACCTTCAGAGTTTACACAACTTGGAAGTGATGAAACCGTCTCAACCACCTTTGAACGGCTTAGCATATGCCGAAGAAAGACCAACCGCAGCTGGTTAGGATTTCTTCAAAATCAAAGGCTGGATAGCACAACCATAGTCCAACATGTAGTGAGGTAACTGGCCTATAAAACTCTTTTGGTTACTGAACATGGTCCAACATGGTCTACTAATTAATCGTTCTAAGAGTTTCATACCCGGTTAGGATTTCTTCTATAAAACTCTTTTATTATCTAGGGCCTCGCCTTCAAGTAATGGAGATATCTGGAATTACCTAATGTCGTGCTAACTATAGAAATCAAATTACTTTCCTTTTATTGAACGTCTCATACATATATGATATATTAACAATTTGGACAACAATAAAGAAAGTAAGCTTTAGAGATAAATATTGAAGGAGACTGAAATACTTTTCATTATTATTGCTCTCACACAACTGTTTTGATTACATCAGTCTCATATATATATTAAGAGGATTAGGTTAACATTTGATCCTCATCCTCCAAACATTTGAATCTATTAGTCAAGATAATATCTTGACTTTGACAGCTGGAGATACTTTTGCTTTTAGGCAGCTTCCTTGTAGTTTCCTTGGCATCAATCTTATCTTTGTTTTGTTGTTGGATTGCAGATGACCGTTGCAGTGTTTTAAGCTCACTGGACTTTGGGGAAGAAAGTGTTTTGGGCTTCCAGACCATTTTAATGTTGTTGGGCTTTGGCCTGTTTGCTGAGACACTCACTTCTCCTTTTGTCGTTTCCTTGTCTGAGAGCAAAGTACTCTTGTTGTTGCTTTTCTCAGCTAGGTCAAATTCTCCTTTCTTCGAATTTGGATCTTCCTCCTTAATAGTCCCCCTCAAACTCGGAGTAGGTGGGACAGCGACACCGAGTTTGAATCGAAGAGAAGTAAAAGGGCCCGGCGAAAGCGACTTTGTGAAGATGTCAGCGAGCTGGAGAGTGTTTGGTATATGAGTAACCCGAAGATTCCCCAAGGCGACCTGCTCCCGTACATAGTGCCAGTGTGTCTGAAAGTGTTTGCTGCGTTTATGGAAGGCCGGATTCGCTGTCAAATAGACGGAGGAGAGATTATCACAGTACAACTCCGGAGGACAGTAGAGAGGTATGTTGAGTTCCTTCAGTATTTTGCAGATCCAAGTAATTTGATGCAGCTTCTGACAAAGCTCTATATTCTGCTTCTGTAGAGCTTTTTGCTACCGTTGGCTGTTTTTGAGATTGCCAGGAGATAACATTCGTTCCCAAAAAGGTACAAAAACCACCTGTAGATCTTCTAGTGGAGAGACAGCCCCCATAGTCGCTATCACTGTAAGCTCGGAGTGTACAGTCAGTATCTTTGTCGAAAGAAATTCCCATTGTGATTGTTCCTTTAATATATCGGAGAATTCTTTTCAGGAGATTAAAGTCGGAGACGGTAGGCGTGTGCATCTTCTGACACACGAAGTTCACCGCAAATTGAATGTCTGGCCTTGTCAGCGTGAGGTACTGTAATTTGCCTGCCAAACTTCTGAAATATGTTGGATTTTCAAACTGTTGATCTTGATCTGATACCTTATGGGGTTGCAGCGGCAGTGGAGTAGGCATTGGGGCGCAATCTAACATCCCAGCTATGGCAAGTAAGTCTTCAGCATACTTTTGCTGAGACAAGAAAAGTCCCCCTGAATGATATTGCATCTGTATGCCTAGAAAGTAGCTTAGCTTTCCCAGATCTTTCATGCGGAACCGTTTGTTGAGTTCTACCAGCAGCTGAGTTAAGACTTCTGAACTATTCCCTGTTATAGCCATATCATCCACATATAGTAATAGCAGAATAATAGCTTTACCTTTGGTGTAGATGAACAGAGAAGGGTCTGACATGCTGCAGAAGAAGCCAAACTCCAAAAGATAAGTGCTAAACTTATCAAACCATGCTCGTGGTGATTGTTTTAGACCATACAGTGACTTGTGCAGATGACAAACATAATCTGGATGTGCAGGATCAATGAAGCCGGCAGGTTGTGTCATGTACACAGTTTCAGTAAGATCTCCATGTAAGAATGCATTTTTAACATCCATTTGTTTTATTTCCCAACCCATAATAGTAGCAAGATGTAGAACTGATCTTACTGTAGGTGTTCTTACTACAGGGCTGTAGGTTTCAAGATAATCAATACCCTCTTCTTGATCAAAGCCCTTGGCCACCAATCTTGCCTTGAGTTTATCTAGTGTTCCATCTGCATTGAGCTTTGTGCGGAATACCCATTTACAACCCAGAATGTGCATGTCTGGTGTTCTAGGGATTAGGGACCATGTTCCTGCTTCTTGGCAGTTATCATACTCCTCATTCATGGCTCCATTCCATCCAGAATCTTTAAGGGCAGCAGTAACAGTTTTTGGCTCTGGATATGTTACTCTGGAGGTGAACAGCACATATCTGGGATTAGGTTTTCTGATACCTGCTTTAGACCTTGTGATCATGGGATGTACTGGAGCTGCTTCTTGTATAACTTGACTTGTTGTTGCATTTGTTTCTTGTTGTTGTTGAGCAGACTCATATTGTTCTGTTTCTGTTGTAGGTGAATTGCTGAGTGTTGGGGACATAGTAGCTGCACTGTCACTACTATGAGAAGATGAAGGAGAACTGTTGCCTATAGGATCAGGATCAAAGCCTGCCGTACACCCAGAATTCTCCTCATCTCTCACAATAGTTTGTGCCTCAAGCTGTAAAGGATCCACGGATGCTTCAGAGGTAACTGGTGGTTTTATAAGATTACCAGATATAGGAGTGATGAGTGAGCATTCTGACTTGTTGAGATCTTGTTGATCAGGTGCCTTGTCAGGTGGTGGTATGGGAATACTCTTGGACCAGGCAGCAAGGAGAGGTGTTGAGACCATTTGCGGGGTTGGTGCAGACCTGTGAAAAGGAAAGTCTTGTTCATCAAACAGGACATGGCGGCTGATGTACACTCTCCCTGATGCCACGAGTAAGCATCTATAACCTTTGTATTTCTCATTGTAGCCTAGAAATACACACTTCAATGACCTTGGATCAAACTTGTGTTGAGCATAGTCTCTTAAAGTGGGATAACAGGCGCATCCAAATGTTCTTAATGACGTATACTCTGGTTGTTGTCCATTCAGAACTTCAAAGGGACTCTTGTTTTCTGCCAGAGTTGATGTAGGCAGCATGTTGATGAGAAAGTTGGCTGTATAAAAGGCTTCAACCCAAAACTTGAGAGGAACTCTGCTGTGACAGATCATAGCTAAACCAAGCTCTATCAGGTGCCTATGTTTTCTCTCTGCTAGCCCATTTTGTTGTGGTGTATGAGGGCAAGAAATTAACTGTTGAATCCCATGTTGTTGTAGGTGATTTGTGAACTTATTGCTTGTGAACTCACCCCCACCATCACATTGAAAACTCCCAATTTTGTGTTGAAACTGATTTTCCACTAGTGCTTGAAAGATAAGAAAGACTGACATGAAATCTGACTTTAACTTGAGTGGATAAAACCAGCAAAAACGAGAGTAGTTGTCTACAAAAATAACATAGTATTTGAATCCTTGCACTGACATTATTGGTGCAGGTCCCCACAAATCACAGTGTATCCTTTGCAAGGGTCTGGAAGTAGTAGTGCTAGAAGGAGCAAAAGGAAGTCTTGAACTTTTCCCAAATTGACATGCTTCACAGATGCCTTTGGAGCTTTTATTGATGATAACTGCTTTGATCTTTGACAGATGCTGAAGGACTTCTGAATTTGGATGCCCCAATCTCATATGCCAAACATCTTCAGGAGCAGACACTTGACGATTTGAGTAGAAGGAGTAAATAGGTTTGTCCTTCAGAACATATAGACCATTAATGTTGTTTCCCTGTACCAGCATTCTCTTTGTGGCCTTATCAATCACACGAACAGTATCACAATCAAAGTTAATGGAGCATGGATAATCACTGGTAAGTTTAGAGATTGATAGCAGTGATTTCTCTATATTAGGACATACTAACACATCGTTAAGTGGTAGAGTACCTGAGCTTGCTGATATACTTGTTGAACCAGTGTGTGTTATGGGTAAGAACTCTCCATTTCCCACCATGATTGAGTCTGACCCTCCATATGACTGTGACTGTTGCAGGTTTTGAGGAGAATTGGTGATGTGAGCTGTTGCACCACTGTCTCCAACCCATTCATGTCCATTCTGGTCAGTGACATCAGTAATCCTCATTGCAGCTAAAGCAGCAGGTAACTCCTCATACTGGTAACTGTTGTTGAATCTATGCCAACACTTTAGAGCTGGATGTCCTGGTTTCCCACAGATTTGACAGACCACTTTATTCTCTGTGTTGTAGGAGCCAGTGGAGGAGGAACTCTGAGTTATTTGCTGTGGGAAGCCTCTTCCTTTTGTAGTGTAATAGCCTCCTCTTCCACGGGATCCACCAGATCTGCCGTAAGAGTTTCCTCTTCCTCTACCAGAATCACTTGTGTAAAAGGCCATATGAGGTGAGATCTCCACACCAACATTATAGCTTGAGAGCCTATCAGCATATGTTTTGAGTCTAGATGCAACATCCTCAAAAGTTGGACCAGGTGAAAGATCTATCATTCCTTCAATAGATACCTTAATGGGTTCATATTCCCTACCTAGTCCTTTTAGAGCTGCAAAAATCTTCATTTTTTCTGATACAGGATTCCCTATAGAAGCAAGTTGCTCACAGACATTCTTGATATCCCTAAGGTACTCAGACATAGGTCTATCTTGTTTTTCTGATGTTTGTAGTTTGCTTTGTAGCTCAAACAGGCGAGAAGATGATACCTTGTTGAAGTGCTTTGCAAGAGCTGACCAGAGTTCCTTTGCTGTTGTTGTGCCAGTTACTTCAGCCAAGATTTCTTCAGAGAGTGACCCCAGAAGCCAAGCTCGCACAATCTGATCTGCTCTAAACCATTCACTGTAATCCGGATTTGGAACTGTCAGAGCCATTCCACCAACTTGAGGGACTTGAAGCGTTGCAGCAGGAGCAGGAGATGACCCATTCACAAATCCAAGTAAGTCTTGACCCGACAAAAAGGATTCAAACTGTGATTTCCAAGAGATATAGTTCTTTTGTGTTAATTTTAGGGTAACACAGTTTGAGATATTTAGTTTAGGATAATTATAGAGATCCATGGTTTGATTAACCATCGCTCTGATACCATAAAGAAAGTAAGCTTTAGAGATAAATATTGAAGGAGACTGAAATACTTTTCATTATTATTGCTCTCACACAACTGTTTTGATTACATCAGTCTCATATATATATTAAGAGGATTAGGTTAACATTTGATCCTCATCCTCCAAACATTTGAATCTATTAGTCAAGATAATATCTTGACTTTGACAGCTGGAGATACTTTTGCTTTTAGGCAGCTTCCTTGTAGTTTCCTTGGCATCAATCTTATCTTTGTTTTGTTGTTGGATTGCAGATGACCGTTGCAGTGTTTTAAGCTCACTGGACTTTGGGGAAGAAAGTGTTTTGGGCTTCCAGACCATTTTAATGTTGTTGGGCTTTGGCCTGTTTGCTGAGACACTCACTTCTCCTTTTGTCGTTTCCTTGTCTGAGAGCAAAGTACTCTTGTTGTTGCTTTTCTCAGCTAGGTCAAATTCTCCTTTCTTCGAATTTGGATCTTCCTCCTTAATAAACAAGACATTATCCTGTGAAGGGAGGTTCAAAATGTTTTTTTTCGTTCTTATATATCACCATAATTAAGTTTTGGTGTTTTTTTTTCACACTTCCTAAAACGCTCTGTGAAAGACCTTGAAGCTTATGTTACCTTTGAAGTAGAGTCATTTCCAATGTTCAAATCCAAGATATATAATTTGATTATCCGAGGGGAGGTAAAAAGGAGTATTAGGTCTAAGAAGCATCGCAAGAAGGAATGTGGTCTTTAGATTTAAACTCTTTTGCTTATTTATATGCTGATATGCATATATATGCTCTTTGAGTAGCTTGGATTCACAAGTTGTTGTTTAGGAGTCGATTCTTTTGGCCTACAAAAAACAGAGGTTATTGGTTTTAGATTTGGAGCTCTCTACTTTGCACCGTGATATGGCAATGCAATTTAGAAAATGTCACTAAAAGAGAGTTGTGACCACCTTTTTCTCAAGTGCTCCAACAGTTTGAGCATCTAGTCAGCGAACCTCTACATATTAGGACTTCCGGCCATGCAATTCAGATCTTGGGACTTCCTTTTAGCTTGGTGGCTTTAAGTAATTCTCTGAGTAATGGTTCCGTTTTCGGGCTGCCATTGAGAGGCTTCCAACCCATGGAGTATTCGATTGCTCCTGCTCGTCAAGATGCTTCTATGGTTACACTTTTGTTGTTCTTCGAGATCGTGTTTCACTTCATCTGACAACGCGAGCTTGTTTGCTTCTATCGATGGACTGAATTTCAGATTTTATCTTTACTTCCATATTTTCAAAAAATTTCTGCCATGGGATCAAATCCTTAGGTATCGCGATCATGTAAAACCTAAACATTTTTATTTTTTATGAATATTTACATTCTTAGCAAGGAAAAAAAAAAGGGAAAACAAAAAAAGCTTGGTGACGTAGTTCATTTAATCTTGCACAGCCTATCCTCTGAAGGAAGGTTCGCCACACATTATGTTACTGTATTTGGAAAAAAATAAAGCAAGACGTCACTTTAGATGATGCATGCAAAATGTTAGAAAACAACGAAAGAATGATGCAAAATGTTTAAAAAAAAAAAAAACCAATCTTATAAAATAGATTTACAAATTTGCTAAATTATATGGGTGTCTCAGCAATTGGATAAAGTTTTTTTTTTGTTAGAAGTGATAAAGGAGATGAAGTGGGATGAGATCACGTCACGCATGGGGCCGTCTTTCTTTCATATAAGAGCATGATTATCCATAGTGTCTTAGAAATAAATCTTAGGAATATTTAAGTAATATATTTATAAAATATGGATCTTAACTATGTTTTTGTTGTTTAGCTAAGAAACTCTCTTAGCAATAATAGCTTAATTGAGATTTAATTTTAATCATTTATTGTTAAGATCCAACTTAAGATTTTCTTAAGAACCTGCCATTAATCATGATCTAATAGATTTGTTTTCGTATTTTTGCTGACGTCGTTACAAATAAGACACTTTTTGGTGTTTAAATAACAAAGCATGTGCTTAATTTCATAGGTACTTCCGAACGATGACATTCTTCTCTCCCACTCAGGTGTTCTTGAACTACCGGGGAGAGCAACTGCGTTACAGCTTCGTGAGCCACCTCGTTGATGCTTTTGAAAGGAATGAGGTAAACTTCTTCGTAGACAAATACGAACAGAGAGGCAAAGACCTCAAAAATCTCTTTCTTAGGATCCAAGAATCGAGGATCGCGCTGGCCATCTTCTCTACGAGGTTTGTACTATTCTTTCACATTATCAAGAAGATTCAAGAATCGTATTCATCCTCGTCTTGATTTTCAGATACACCGAGTCGAGCTGGTGTATGGATGAGTTGGTGAAGATGAAGAAACTTGCTGATAAAAGAAAGCTCCATGTTATTCCAATCTTCTACAAAGTGAAGGTAGATGACGTTAGAAAACAGACAGGTGAGTTTGGCGACAACTTTTGGACGCTCGCAAAGGTTTCAAGTGGAGATCAGATCAAGAAATGGAAAGAAGCCTTGGAATGTATCTCCAACAAGATGGGTTTGTCGTTGGGAGACAAGAGGTACTTTCCACTCACACTCACTAAATCTTCTTCTTCTTCTTCTTGTATTGACTAAGGTACATATACTTTTTTTGGCAGCTATGAAGCCGATTTTGTCAAGGATGTTGTTAAGGCGGTTCGGACTGTTGTAGCAGAAATTGGTCTTGAGGAAGAAGAGAATCCATTTGGGAAAAAGAAGAGAAAGGATTGCAAATGTGAACTTCCTGATTTCAAGAAAAGCAGAACCAAAAAGTTGTGACGTAGGAAATTGTTCTGCAATTTGTATGGATAGAGACTGCTTTTTTTAGTTGTGTTTTTAACTGAAGGTACTTTAATTTTCTCTAATATTTTGCTTATTACTTTTCAACAGATTCGGATTAATCAATTAATTAAGGGCTTATGTCACCATTCTCTGTTTCCCCTGTATCAATCTTTCTCTTGAATACATATCAATATTTGAATAGCTAAAATCGAGTGTGATATGATTTGTTACAAAATTCCTCAACTTCTTTTTTTAAGTTTGTGTTATATATTCATTATTCACTGACGACATCCAGCTTGAGATCCAACGGTAATCAAAAAGATGACTATCAATCTATAATCTGCTGAGCCTCTGTTTTTTGGATATGTGACGTTTTAGTGGTTTCCTTGTGATTCCATTATTTCAAGAAGCCCAGAAGGAGTTATTCCGTTAAGGCTGCTATAAAAAAGCTAGGGATGAGGTAGAATAGAAAGACAGGTTGATTAAATTTTGTAACACTCAGAATTTTGATTCTGCTTTTAGTGAAAATCTCATAGACATGCCAAGAGTCTCGATCACTAAAAGATAAAATTTGATCGTAGATTAATTAACATACGATCTTCTATTATTTGAGAAAAATCGAAACATATAATTCATAAGATAGAGAGCCTAAAATTACATTAAAGACACATAAATAAGCTATTGAATGTTTTTACTAAAAATGAGACCGGAGGCAAAGGTTTCCATATTCCCTAACGTAGGCACGGGCTCTGTGGAAGCCATAGAGACGATGAGCACGTGTGCTGAGGCTCACCCTTATTAGAAGCCGAATCACTGAAGGATGCTAACGACCATTATACTAAGGAAGTCGACGCTTTCCTCCAGTCGAAATCAAAGGAAGCAGATGCGTTGTTGACAAAAGGAGCTTGCAAAGAAGGGGTCGACCTCCTTAGTAAAATGTTTGCCAGCATTTTTCAGCACCTCCAAAAACGGCTGGTAGTAATCAAAGTGAGCCTCCATACACTCGCATCCGGATTCTTTGGGAAACTTTCCTTGTCTTTCTTTTCTTCTTCCCAGCTATCACTCCAAGCCTTGACTGATTCTTTGCAAGCTCCTTTTTATGCTTATGGTTTCTTTCTTTCTTTCTTGTTTAGGGGGATATTTGATACAAATATTTCATATTTCGTGATTAAAGAAATTAGATAGTACTTTAAATTTACGTTTAGTTATAAGTAAAGACGAGCTTTCGTTGGAGATACTCATCCATAATAGAGTGTTTAATTTGGAGGTTTTGACAGGTCGAGTGAAGAGAACTTTCTCTTTGGAAAGTTTTACTCTTCTTACTGTATTCTACTGTTATAATAAAGATTTTAGTTTTGATTTCGGTTCTATCTCTTACAATATAAATATTTGGATTTGCAAATAAAAATTGTGAGCGGTTCCTTCTGAATTACTCTTCCTTTTTTATATGATTCGAGAACTCTAAAAGGCATGTTTCAGTCGTCGTCTTATTTTTTTTTATTTTAATTCAAAGTTACAAATTAAACAAACCAAATGACACATAATTAAGTGTGGGATGTCAACACACACATGCAAGATGCCACATGATCCCTTGGCTACCAAATTTTGATTAACCTAATAATCATCCCTAATGAAGACGTTGGCTACCAACCTAAGGTGTATACATATCCTCTCTTACTCTTAGTCTCTTGACACTAATCTTTGCTTAAAACGTAACACATGATAAACAATTTAAAAAATCTCAACTCAATTTACCACTCTTTAATTCATGATAATTTTCATTGTTTTGAGTTAAGTTTTGATCAAACAGTTTTACAAACGAGAAAACTCGAAAATGTAAATCAATCATAATTCAACAAAACTTAAACTACAACTTAGTTTTTTTGAAATAAATCATACATATGATTGGTGACATTTTTTGAATTAAATGTGAGGTACGACCATAAAGAGTGTGATTGCTAACATGAGTTACCATCTTATAAACACATGGTAACTCATGTTAGCAATCACACTCTTTATCTAAAGCCGTAACAGAAATTTGAGTTATTTTAGAATGTTGAGATGCATACATGAACTAGAAGCTGTCGTTAGAGATCCTAAAAAAGCTTGAGCGTATCAAGGAAACTTTACCCTCAGAAGACAGATCATTACGGCTTATTCACTACGTAACAACCCAAATCTCAAAATTCGAAATGGAGAGATCATCAAAAATCATCACAAAAAGTTTTTTACGCTTTAAATAAAATAAGTTCAGTTATATATAGCTCCCTAATGGTATTTTAGTCTTACCATAGACCATAGTCAATCAAAGACATGAGCAAATGAGTATTTGTGTGTACGTGTACTAGTTAGTGGATGAGTTTCTTTTTCTCAAAGAAAGTATTCAATTAAAGTGCATAATTGTAGACCAGAGCTGCATAATTGTAGACCAGAGCCACCGATAAACAAACCCCAAACTCAACCACGCCATCTTCAAGTTTGTGGAACTATTCAGTATTTGCATTTCTTCTTCCCTGGTTGGTACCACCAAACCAAAAGACAATATATAACAAGTATAATCAAGCTCATCATATCTCTATCTTCAAACATAAAAAAACTAAGGCATCAAAAAGGTTTGTTCTTACCAACGTTGTATTGGCCCAGTGGTAAATCTCCCAGGTGGAGGTATTGGGTTCGATGACCGTTGGGAGAGATCTCTTCTCCAAAGGAGATGAATTTAACCTGGTGTGGGTCACGCCTCTGGAAAATGTAGGGCTTTCGAGCTTGAACTTCCAGATATTAAAAAAAAAAAAAAAGGTTTGTTCTTAGTCTATTTACCTTTCGCGAAGATAATACATCTCTTCGTTGATTAATCGAACTTAATTAACTTATGGTTTTCTAGAAAACCATAAGTGACAATATGTAACCCTGTGGTTAGATAATTGTTAATTAAGTGTAAGAAGACATGCAACAATGTGTTGAAAGAAAAAGAAAAGTAAAGAAAAGAAAACAATAAATTTAATTTTTTTTAAGTAGATAAAACTTTGCCACCAATTAATTATCTACTTTAAACCTAGGATAGCCAATAAATGATGGTATCAAAACTTTAGTCCCAGAAGAACACTGTTTAGACATTCTCTGTCTGAACGAGGTATAAAATTAAGGCTCTTGGCGAAAAAAAAAAAAAAAGATTTTGTTAAAGTTACAATTGTGTGAAAAACAGCTGTGTGAAAGGTTTCAAAGTGCTAGTGAAAGTTTCTCTTTAAGAAAAACAGTTGGCAAAAAATAAATAATAATAAAAATAAAATAAAAGTTAGCAACCAATATTTTTGGGTTTTTAAAAGCTTGTTAGAGGGAAGACACGTGGTATTGAATAACCTGAGAACCCTAACGATGTCAGTCTTCTCTCCCGCTCAAGTGTGTCAAGTTTTTTTTTAAATTATAGGGGAGAGGAATTGCGTTACAGCTTCGTGAGCCACCTGATTGTGCATTTGAAAGGAATGAGGTAAACGTCTTCGTAGACAAATACGAGCTGAGAGGCAAAGACCTCAAAAATGTCTTTGTAAGGATCGAAGAATCGAGGATCGCGCTGGCCATCTTCTCTACCAGGTTTGTACTATTTTTTTCACTCTATGAACCATAAAATTCAAGAATTTTTCATCATCCTTTAGTTAAATGTATAGGTATGCGGAGTCGCCGTGGTGTATGGATGAGTTGGTGAAAATGAAGAAACTTGCGGATCAAGGAAAGCTCCTAGTCATTCCAATCTTTTACAATGTGGAGCCAGAAGACATAAGAAAACAGACAGGTGAGTTTGGTGACAACTTCTGGACTCTCGCGAAAGTTTCTACTGGAGATCAGATCAAGAAATGGAAAGAAGCTCTCGAATGCATCTCTGACAAGATGGGTTTGTCATTGAGAGACAAGAGGTGCCTTCCTCTCACACTAACTAGATCTTATTCTTCCTCTTTTATGAATAGGATGTTTGATGGACTAATGTATACATTTTTTCTTCTTTTCTTTAACAGCTCTGAAGCCAATTTTATTAAGAAAATCGTTAAGGAGGTTCAGAAAGTTACAAAAGCAATTGGACTTGGGGAAGAAGAAAAACATCTTAGAAAAAATGAAGAGAAAATGAAAGGTCGGGAATTGCAATTGCCAATACGATCTCTAATTTAAGAGGAGCAAAACCATAAAGTAATGACGTAAATGATTTTTGAGGTTTTATTTTTTTATCAAAAATATTGATTTTCTGTAAATTTTTATCAATTAATGTTAAAATACTAGATTTGAACCCGCGGTACACCGCGGGGTTATAATTATTTTTTAAAAAATCTAAATATAATTATTTTTGTTTATTAATAGAGAGTATACTATAATATTTCGACCTATTTTATAAATGTACCATTTATATGTCTATATTAATAGTTTTGAGTATATTAATTATGTTTTAGGTTTAAATGGTATATCTATATATACACTTAAACAACATTTGGTTTTCTTCTTCTTCTTGCCTCAGTTTAGGAGAAAGATTTTTCTTGCGGTACACCACAGAGCTATTATTTTTTTTAAAAAAAATTCCTTCCTTAAACTTCCAAATCTAGATTTTACCCCGCGGTACACCGCCGGTCGATTTTTTTATAACTAAAAAATTATTTTGCAAAATTTTAAGTTGTATTTGTTTTGTTAATATTGTTTATTTTGTTTAGTGTTTCTGATTTTATAATTAAATTTTGATTTTTAATTCTAGGATTTCATCCATAGTATATTGTTTAATATTAATATTGATCTAAACCCGTTGCACCATATAACCCCGTCCCGTAAAATTAAACATCATTTGTTATTTTTTTGAATAATATTTTTATCCACTACGGGTCGCAGGTTCATGCGGATAAGCCCGTAGAGAGTTGTGGGTTTGCGGGTCGACCCGCCAAAAGAGAATGTATCTTTTGAAACCCTTTGTTTTGTTTAGAGTTTTAAGAAAATATCCCTAAAAAAAATTTTTATTATATAAAAAAAAAAGAAGTAGAAGAAATTGTAGTATCAACATTCCCGATTTTTACATCACTCGTTACAATTATTTTATTTTTTTTGCAGATAAAAATCAGAAGTTAACTAAGTCGAGATTTTTAAAAAGATTGAGTAGAGATTTTTGGTAAATTGTTGAGAACATATTTGATTTCAAAATTTTTACTTAAATAAAATAAATCTAAATAATTAATGCTAATGGCATATCATTGTAAATACTTCTCAACTTCAGGATTTATTTGCTAATTGTGATCCAAAAATGTATATATATAGATTGTGAACTATGAAAAATGGTTTGGTATGACTAAATAATGCATTTATAACTAAACATTAAATGTATTTCTAAATTAGTGTGAAAACTCTATAACCGAAGTCGTCACTCGTAGAGGAATCTCAGAGATCGTATGTCAAAATCGTTCGTCTTTTAACTCCACAAACGTTTTCATTTTGGTCAATGAATAAAAAAACAATCGAATTAAAATAGCTCCAAATTTGACCGACTTTGAACCGCATCGTGACCGTGATATCACTACGCACTTAATTATTTTGTAAATGACGGCTTTAAATAACGTCGCCAGCACACTTTGTTTTATCCTTTTTGATGTAAGAGCTTCTCCATCCATCCGTACTTCCGTAAAATACGATGGAAGTTTTTCAAAAAAAAAATAAATATTATTTAATTAATTTTTTATATATTATTTTTTTAATAAATAAAACAATATATTTATAATACATGTGCAGAAACTTTCTCAAAATTTCTCAACACAGACAGTATGTCTTTCAACAGCTTAAGCTGTTGACAAAAAAAAAAAGACATCGTGTCTCTCTCCCTTCATTTATTATATATTTTATTAATAAATTTTAGTAGATACTCTAATATTTGGGATTTTTGCAAAATCTACCACATTTTTCAAATTTCTTATCATCTCTACCACAATTGAGAATGATTTAGAACTTGTACCACATTCATGTGGTATTGTAGTATGAAAAAGACGGTTTTGCTTTTGGCTGATGTGACAGATAAAATGTAAAATTTAGGGACAAGTATCTAGGGAACAAAAAATCTATTCGGGGACAATAATCAAACGAAATATAAACATCAAACAAAATAAAAAGACCGCAATTAAAGTTTACATACTAAAATCCAAGAACAATGAATTAAAATTGAGGGACAAAAACTAGCAAACATGCAAAAATAAGATGAAATTATGGAGAAATTTAAACTTCGGGGACAACTGTATGTAAACTTCTTTTTGTGTCTTCAATCTATGAATTTTGTCCCCGAAATTTGAGCAAACAAAAAGAAGGGCAAAATGGTCATTACACATCTTAATTGTGGTATAGATGCTAACTATGCTTCGAAAGTGGTACTGGACCTAAATTTTAGGCCAAATGTGGTACTCAATCTTTTCCCCTAATATTTCCCGACACACATTTCTATATAATATTCCCTACTTTTAATTTTTCTTTTGTTTAAAGTGATTATCCCGTTTGTAGATTTTATACTTGTCATTTTTTTTTTCTTTTGGATAGAGATTTTGTGTAGCTTTGATACTTTTTCTTCACATTTCCATTGATTCACACTACAGATTATAGAGTATATATTGTTTTATATCGATGAAAAAGTCCTTATCCTATCTTTTTTATTACTCTCCCCTTCTTCAATTTCTTATTACATTTTGTTTTCATGAGACCTTTCAATCTTTTCACATCTCATTATATTTTTTTTTCTCCACGTGACATTCCCATATAATGACCAATTTTCTTTAATTACGTTTACTCAATACCTTAAAACACATACAACGGCAGTGCTGTAGTCAATACAAGTCATAGATCGTTCAAAGTCATAGAGACATTAAAGATAACTTTGTCGACACCCACTAAACATTAAAGAGGACTCACGCCCAAATATTTAGAGCATCTCCAATAATATTTTCCTACAAAAAAAAAAAAAACAATTTGAAAGAAAAGTAGAAAAGAGTTTTCGAATAAGAACTTTGGATATCTTAACTAAAACCCTTCTTTACAGTTGTTTGTTTTTAATTGGTTTATTTTTATTTAAAAACTAAAATTAAATATATAATCACGTATAGTAAAAGATTCTATCTGTTTCAAAATATAGTATGTTCTAGAGATTTTTTTGTTTCAGAATATATGATATTTTACAAGTTTTAATGCAAAATTTTTGAATGGATTTAATATTTTGTGACTATTTATATACTATAGTTTTTTTGTAATAGTTGATTTTCATAAAAATCAAATATTAAAGGATAATTTTTTTAAAAAAAATTAACGATGCATTTTTAACTAAAACATCATATATTTTGAAACAGAGAGAATATTAATATTTTGATGTTAAGATACTTTTTTGGGTATGTAAATTATTGGTAATGCTCTTAGATAACAAATTTAATTTTTGTGGTTATTACTTTAAAATCGTAAGGTTTCATGATGTTTCAATATATTTTAATAAATTCGAATCTTTTTCATATGTTTTTCTTACTATCAAAACTAAAAAATAGTAAAATCATGTTTCAAAATGTTTTAATATATTTTCTGTTTATTAGAAACAAACGAGTGAGTACAAAAAGAACAAAAAGAAAAACTTATTCTCCTTTCGTTTCTTTTTGTAAGATGATTTGGATAAAAATATATGTATCTTCAAAAATTTATTATTTTATATCAAAATTAAAACAATTCAATCAATCAGTAAAATCATTGCATAATATAAATGATTACTCCCTCTGTTTTATAATATAGGATGTTTTACAAATTTTTATGTAACTTTTAAATATATTTGAATATTTTATGACCATTTATAGTTTGCAGTCTTTTATATCATTGGTTGAATTTTCATATATTAAATATTAAATGATAAATTTTAATAGAGATAATAATTTTTTAAAGTATATGTTTTTACCTAAAACATTATATATATTAAAACGGAGGGAGTATAAAACATTAAATGTACTTTAATTTAACATAAAAACCTAAAAACATTTAATAAATAAAATAAATATAATTTCTTGAAACAACATATAAAATGAAATGATAGGAATATAGTACTCCCTCCGTTTCACAAAGAGGGTCGTTCTAGAGTTAATGTCGTTTTACATTTTCAATGCAACTTTTGTAACTAATTTCTAGATTTGCCCCTTATGCAAAACTAAAATCCTTTGTATTTAAATTATTAGGAATATATTAAATAATGGTATATTTATATATTTAACTTATTTTTTTATTTGTGTTAAATGTGTCAAAATGATATTTTTGTGAAACAGAAAAAGTATTAAAAACGAACTAAGAGTTACACGTGGGAACAAAAGGTTTATTTAATCGTCAAAAGGTTTTTTTTAGGGTGGGTTAGCGGATATGAAGAGACGTGCGGATGAAGAAAAGCTCCAAATCAATAAAGTGGAAGCAAGAAGACTAGGCATTCTAGTTCACTGTTCAATTTCATTGGTTTTACGATTTATCTGAGAAAAACTGTGTAATTCAGTTTGGTTCGGTCTGTTTTTTTAAAAAAATTTATTTATTTTATAAAACTAAAACTAAATAGATTTTACTAGGTAAAAATTCGTGCCATACATGATAAATTTTATGAACAGGTTAATTTTATAACAAATTATATAGATTCTATTACCTTATTAAGAATTTCTATACGTTTAAAAAATATACTATAGTGTTTGAGTTTGATTTTATAACATGTTTTAAACACAATTCAAAAATCAAACCGAACTATTATATTTATTTTAATAATATCTTTTAAACATAATTAGGAAATCAAAGTGGAATTTCTTCCAAATATACGGGTCAAATTGGTCTGAGAGTTTTAGAAAATTGAAATTTGGCAATTCTAGATATATATTTTTTGGTCGGTGGTAATTCTAAATATTAGAATAAACTTAGGTATGTTTGGTTAATAGTTTAAGAAATATGGGGATAAAGATTAAAGAAAAATGTGTTTGGCACGTAGTGGAATAGTAAAATTAAAAAAATATTAAAAAAAAAAAAAAAAGTTGAAAAAAATTGTAAGATTATCACGCCAGTAAAAAAACTCTCTTTTAATATATAGATCGATGTCACTGTCACACACAACAATTGATGGATGGCTGCTCTTGTAACCGATGGAACCACGAAAATTTGGTTTG